ATTAATAGATACTGGTAAATTGTATGCTGTGTTAATTAGGACTCTCAGTATTGAGTAAAATAAATTTAGTTCAAACTAGCTTAAACAAAGAAGGGAATAGAGTATCTTAGAAAATGCTGAGTCTGAGTGGCAGTCTGTTTAGGCATTGCTGGAGTTCAGTGTTCAAAACAATGTTATTAGAACTCTGGGTCTCCCTTTCTTTCAGCTGTACTTTGCCCTGTATTGATTTTATTCCCAGGCAAGATTTCTCTTTGGACATTCTAGACTTACTTCATTTTAAAAGAGTTGCATGTGTATTCTGGATATTAAGCCTTCACTGTTATCCATGTTTCAGATATTTTACATATTTTCTCCTGTCTTTTTTTTTTTCTTTTTTGAGACAGAGTCTCACTATGTTGCCCTTGGTAAAGTACTATGGTGTCACATCTCACAGCAACCTCAAACTCTTGGGCTTTAAGTGATTCTCATGCCTCAGCCTCCCAAGTAGCTGGGACTACAGGTGCCCACCACAACACCCGGCTCTTTTTTGTTGCAGTTGTCATTGTTGTTTAAAAGGTCCTGCTGGATTTGAACCCACCTGTCTCCGTGTATGTGGCTGGCATCCTAACCATTGAGCTACGGGCCCCGAGCCTCTCCTGTCTTTTATTACTTTTCATATGGTTTTTGATTTCTTTTAATGCCTTCAAATGTCTTCCTTTCCACTGACTTCTCTGCATCTTATATGCATGATGAAGTCTCTCTTAAGACTTGTCTGAGCATTTAGTATTACTAAATAAAACACAAGATGATATAAATTGTGTAAAGGGTTTGACTATATAATCTACCTAAAATTGACATTTGTCACCCTTGTTATTGGCACATACTAAATTTGTGTGGCTTCATCAGATTCTAGCTCAGCTGTGGAGAAAATGTTATGATCTTGATATTTAATTTGTCTCTTCTACTGGAAACTATGTGGTTTTGCTTTGCCTGTTAGAGGTTTGTAAAAAAAAAAAAAAAAGGCTTAGCAATTTACTACCCATCACTACCACTTTTATAAGAAGCAGTAAGCAAGTTTATCATTTGTAAGTTAAAAGACACTTAGTATCAGTAACCTTTGGGTGTGGTATCATTGGCAGAGTGTTTAAGCCAACTCTTGTCATTACTGCACAGGCGTCAGTGACTGGCGTTGGTCCAGCTATGAGGATCCTAATCCTTGAAGTGTAGCTAGGAAAGAACTCACAAGTTGTTATGAAAGATCTGAAGCTCTCATTGTGTTTGTCTAGTAGGAAGTCTTTAATATGCTTGCCATTTAAAGTTTCAGTAAGAAGATGAGAAGCAGAAACCACTTTGCCTTCCATTGAGAATAAATAGAGATTAAGGCATTAAAAAGTGAGTGTAATGAGCTGTTTCTTTCAAGAAGCCCTCCAGTAGGGAAAGGAAGAGAGTGAGAGGGTGGTGCTTGATGGACCAGTGTATGATAGGTTAAGATCTCTTTGGTAAAATTCACACATCAACTTAAGCAAGGCAGATTATCATTGGAACTTTAAAAACCAATTTATATTGGGTGCTGGAAACTTTCTTCAAGTGATATTTTGGAGACTTTACCAATTTTTTTTTTTTTTTAAGACAGTCTCTGTTGCCCTTGGTAGAGTGCTGTGGCATCAGAGCTCACAGCAACCTCCAACTCTCGGGCTTAAGCGATTCTCCTGCCTCAGCCTCCCGAGTAGCTGGGACTATAGGGATCTGCCATAACGTCCGGCTATTTTTTTGTTGCAGTTTGGCCAGGGCTGGGTTCGAACCCACCACCCTCGGAATATGGGGCTGGTGCCCTACCCACTGAGCCATAGGTGTCCCCCCGTATATAAATATTGTAATGGTTAAGTATCTATCTGCATTTGTGTTTTATAAATATTCAAATCAGATAGATGATTTTGTTGAACCCCTTGAGGGTTCTGCCAGCTATTTTATCCTTGTTTTACTGTTATGGAACCTTGAGCCTTAGGGAGTGTTAAGTAATTTGCCCAAAGTGTAATCCAAATTATAACTACAGATCCAGGATTACATCTTAAATATAACACTAAATGTTATCTTCCTGGTCCAGTGGTTTTAAAGTTTCCTAAATATATTTTTCCCATAGATAAAATCTTTCAAGATTTCAAAGTAGCAGTAAATTACCTTCAGTATTTCTCATCACTTCCCTGATAGGAAAGGGATGTCTCTGTTGTTCATCCTCAAATTCCTGGTTCACAGGATCCTCCTACCTCAGCTTCCAGCATAGCTGGGACTATGGGTGCATGCCACTGTGCCCAGCAATTTTCTTTTCCAGTTGTACAGAGCAAATTCTTTTTCTAGAGGCAGGGTCTTGCTATATTGCCCAGGCTCAATTACAAGTATAAGCTATGGTGCCTGGCTTTGACATACCCTCATTTTTTTGTTTTTTTTGAACTTCTGTAATGCAACACTAGTCTAGGTCTCTAGACTTAGACCTAGTTAAAGACTAGGACTTATCTTCCAGCGTTTTTCTCTCTTGGTCTCTTGTTGTTGTGTAGATGGACTCTTCTCCCTGATGGGCACCCTTCTCTCTGCATTTCTACCAAGACCACATTATTCTACTTTTTCTAAATTAAAGACATGGTTTAATGTGTAGTAAGTCTAGGCTACCCTCATGTTTATCTTTTTTCCCTTAAATTCTTTGTTACTCTTACCTACATTATCCCACTCTCATCAACTTGAGTTACTTTACTAACAAACAGTTCTACTGGCATTTTGATTAGAATTGTATTAAATTTATTAATTATTTTGGGAAGAATCAGCACCTTTATAATATTGAAATTTCCCATTTAGGAATTATATCAATTATACATATATGTATATTCATAGTATTTTTGTTGTTTGTGTTCACAAAACTGTAAGTTTGGCCAGGCGCGGTGGCTCATGCCTGTAGTTCTATTTTGTACTCTCTATTTTGAAAGGCTGAGGCCAGCGGATCCCTTGAGCTCAGGAGTTTGAGACAAGCCTGAGCAAGTGTGAGACCCCATCTCTACTAAAAATAGAAAAACTAGGTGTTGTGATGTTCGCCTATAGTTGGAGCTACTTGGGAGGCTGAGCTAAGAGGATCTCTTGAGCCCCAAAGTTTGAAGTTGCTATGAGCTGTGATAATGCCATGGCATTCTACCCAGGGTGCTGGAGTAAGATTCTGTCACAAAAAAACCTAAAAAACAAAAAGCCAACAACAAAACCTAAGTCTAATACTGAAAATAAGAGTCATGTCTGACTAATCTCTGACTACTCAGAATAAAAATTAATTTCTGACTAATCTCTGAAACATTGTGATATGGACTTCTAAAAAAAATATGACTACCCTGTCTTACTGTTCAGTTTTTGCACATGCTGTAAAGTTTGAAGCTATTTGCTTTGAATATATGTATGTATAAACTGTTATTTGAGTATTACAGTTTGGTTTACGTGTTTCATCAGTGAGTTACAATTACCAGAATTATTATTTTTTATTTCATACTTTTTATTTAATTTTTTCAGTTTTTTTATTAAATCATAGCCATGTACATTAATGCGGTCATGGGGTACAATGTGCTGGTTTTATATATAATTTGAAATGTTATCATCAAACAATTACCAGAATTATTTAAAGTAGATGACTATTTTAGTCAAGTGCATTAATTTCAATTCTAGTATTTTAAAAAATATATTTTTAGAACTTTTTTTTTTAGGGGAAGTTTGTCTGTTATATTTAGTACTACTCTCAAAAATACCTTCATCACCAGAGCCTGTAGCTCAGTCATTAGGGCCCTCACCACATGCTCCAGGGTTGGCGGATGTGAACCCAGCCTGATACTGCTAAACAAAAAAATAGTTGGGTACTGTGGCGAGCCCCTATAGTCCCAGCTACTAGGGAGGCTGAGGCAAGAGAATCACTTGAGCCCAAGAGTTTGAGGTTGCTGTGAGGTATGATGCTATGGTATTCTACTGAAGGTGACAAAATGACACTCTATCTCAATTAAAAAAAAAGAAATATTTCTATCTCCTTAGAGCCTGTCCTTGTGTTAGGGGCATAGACTTTTATTGTTTTGGAAAGGTAAGAAAGTCCCTCTCAATATTATTTTTTACTCTACAGTTTCCAAAATTTTTATGTAGGTGTTATTTACATAATTTGAATGTTACCAGAACGTTGAGGTGTTTTTTAATAAACAAATATGCACCAGAAACCTTAAATTAACTCACAAATTCCTTATGAATTGTATGCCACTGTTTGGTTTCATTGAATTGCATTTATTCTTTGAGAAGTGCATTCTTCATTAACTATTAGACTATATAGTCTTAAGTTAGAAAAAGAGTACTTAAAACTGCCTTCATTATTAGTTGAATACAAGGAAGTAATGATGAATAATATAAGACCATGTCCCTTATAGAAACTAAAAAAAAAATAAAATTTATTAATATTTCAAGAAATCTTAGTTAAGCCAGTCTTTGGCACTGTATCCTCCTCAGTTCTTGCTTTAACTTTACCTTTCAACACCTGGCACTCTCTTTCCTTAACACACCAAAAATTAGAGAAAAGAGGATGAGAGTGAATGGGCGGGATTTGTGTAGTGAGATACCAAAGAGCTGGATATCTGGAGAAATTTTTTTGATTTTCTAGAGCAGCGGTTCTTAACCCATGGGTTGCAACCCGTTTGTAACAATGAAAATACATCCTGCATATCAGATATTTACATTACAATTCATAACAGTAGCAAAATTACAGTTGTGAAGTAGCAACGAGAATAATTTTATGGTTGGGGGTCACCACAACATGAGGAACTGTATTAAAGGGTCACAGCATTAGGAGGCATTAGGAAGGTTGAAAAACACTGTTCTAGAGAGTTTTAAACTGTGAGACCTCTCATTTGTAAATTACTTGTATCTTAATATTTCATTAAATTCCTCTTGGGATCTTTGCTTTTTAAGCCTAAGGAATAGAGGCAATATCTTCTAGTTGATGGATTTTTATTCCTCTATAGATTCATCTGAAAATTACATCAAGGCAAAGACTTTTGAAGGCTTCTGTGCGTTACATCTTGCTGCCAGTCAAGGACATGGGAAGATTGTACAGATTCTTTTAGAAGCTGGGGCAGATCCTAATACAACTACTTTAGAAGAAACTACACCATTGTTTTTAGGTGAGTATTCTATTTGTGCTACAGATATAATATTTTTTATTTTATTAAGTTAAGCTTAATTTCTTCCTGAGCTGTTGTACTTACAGTATGTTCTTTTTGAAAATGTTATTTCACTGCTTCTTTGCTTTTGAAACTGAAGAGGTATTTTTAAAGGTTTCATTTTTATTTTCTACCCTATTTAAAGTTGCAAAATTTGTTCTGAATTGTAGTCACCCTCATTGTTTCTAAAGACCAGGTGTTTCTTAAATTGTAGCAATAGTTACAAGGTTACCTGCGAATGTTTTATGTTTGCTGTTTCTTCTTTAGCATTAAGACATTAAGAAGCTTTTATGGGAGAAATCACCAACTAATCCTTTAATGCTTGTTAATTTATTGCCTATATGGATCACTTTTCAAACCTTATTATTTAAAACTCTTTTAATTCCTTAAGGATGACAGCCAAATTCTGTATGACACACTTTCAGTAACTAGCTTTATTTTCTTTTTTCTCTCCCTTCCTCCCTCTTACTCTATTTGTTTTCAGGGACGTTGTATCCCATAAAGTTTAGTGGAAAATAGCAAATGAAGAGAGTAAGACATTTAGAATGGAATCAGTGTATCTGGACTACAGTTTGGGTCCTGCCACATGTAATTTGTATATTCATTTGCTGTATATTTCAGTTTCCTCACATATAAAATGGGACTAATAGTACCTACCATAGTCTTTGCCATTGGGCTGGGAATAAAATGAGATGAGTAGTTTTTTCTTGTGAACTTAAAAATATTTATTTAAAAAATTATTCACAGTAAAAATTACTTTACAGTATGTAGTTATGTGAGTTTTGATATATGTATAAAATTCTATAATTCAGTAATTGAGATGTAGAACCTTTCTTTTTTTTTGAGACAGAGTCTCACTGTTTGGCCTTCAGTAGAGTGCCATGGTATCACAGCTGTGGGTGCTGCTCAAGATGTAGAACCATTTTGTCATTTCCCCAAATTTCATCATAGTACCTATTTTTCATCAACCTTCACCCCTCCCCCAGCTACACCCCTTACAGATGCTGATTTATTCTCATCCCTGACATTTATTTTTTGCAGTGTCATGTATGTATTTGGAATAATATGCTCTATGTAATCTTTGAGACTGACTTCTTTTACTAGCATAATGCTTTTGAGATTTACCTGTATTTTTGCATGTATTAGTAATCCATTCCTTTTTATTGCTGAAAGTGTTGCAGCATAGCTATACCACAGTTTATCCATTCACCACTTGAAAGACATTTGAGTTGTTTTCAGTGTTTGGTGATTATGAATAAGTCTGATATAAACATATGCATTCAGGTTTTGTCTGAATACAAGTTTTCATTTCTATTGGGTTAATACAATACTTAGGATTGCTGTGACATATGGCAAGTATATATTTAATTTTGAAAAATAAGTTGGGAGTTTCTTTCCACCAGTTGGCATTTTCTTCAGTAAAGTTTGAGAGTTTCATTTGCTCCATATCCTTGCCAACACTGGGTGTTACCAGTTTTTTCTTTTTCCCTTTTACATTTTAGTTCATTCCAATGGGGGGTTAGTGGAATTCACTGAGGTTTTAATTTGCATTTTCCTCATTGCCACTGTTATTGAACATCTTTTCTATGACTATTTTCCATCTTTCTTTTTTTTTACATTACTTTTGTGTTTAGACATTTTTTGAAATAATTTCAAACTTAAGGAATTAGTAACAGTGCAAAAATGCCTATATGCCTTTCACCCAAATTTTGTTCTTTTTCCATGTTTGTCTTTAATTTCTTCAGAGTCTCACTTTGTTGCCCTCCAAGTAGTGTCATGGAGTCATAGCTCACAGCAATCTCATTTGGGCTCAAATGATCCTATTGACTCAGCCTCCCGAATAGCTGGGACTACAGGTACCTGCCACAATGCCAGCTATTTTTATAGACGGGATCTTGAACTCCTGAGCACAAGTAATCCAACTACCTCGGCCTCCCACAGTGCTAGTATTACAGGCATGAGCCACCGTGCCCAGGTGTAATTTCTTTCTTTATATTTATCCATGCGTTATTTTTTCTGAACCTGTTGAGATTAAATTGTAGATATGATGCCCCATTAGGTGTAAATACATTAGTGTGAATTTCCTAAAAGCAATAAAATTCTCTTATATAGTAATTGTACAATAATCAAAATCAGGAAGTTGACATTAATACAGTACTATTATTTAATCTATAGACTTTCCTTTTTCTCTTTTTTTATTGCCCTTGGTAGAGTGCTGTGGCATCACAGTTCACAGCAACCTCCAACTCCTGGGCTTAGGATTCTCTTGCTTCAGCCTCCCGAGTAGCCGGGACTACAGATGTCCGCCACGATGCCTGGCTATCTTTTTTGTTGCAGTTTGCCCAGGTCTGGGTTCAAACCGACCACCCTAGGTATATGGAGCCAGAGCCCTACCCACTGAGCCACAGGCACTGCCCAATCTATAGACTTTCTTCAGTTTTTCTAGTAGTTCCACTGATGTCATTTATAGCAAAAGAAAAAAAAATTGTTGATCTAGGATTAATTCAGGATTACTTGTTACATTTAGTTGTCATGTCCATTTAGCATTGTTTAGTTTGGAGCAATTTTTCAGTCTTTTATGACTTCACATTTTATTTTGTAGAGTATCTTCCAATTTGGGTATGTCTGGTATTTCTTCTTTATAAGGTTCAGGGTGTGCATTTCTGGGAAAAATACTCAGAAGTGACATGGTATTGTAGCACATCTTAGGAAGAATATGAGCCAGTAATGGTAATACTAATTTATTAAAGTACTTTGGAAGTGTGAAAAGTATTATTATATAGATGTTTCTTGGTGCCTTTGGTGTAAGAAGGTTTATTTTTCCCTCACATTTACATTTATCGCACTTTGGATATTCTGTACAAATACAGAGCAAACATTTATTAAGGTTTAGCTATATGGAGTTTCTATTCTATTCTATTTACTGTTTTCAAAGGATCATCTATATAGAAGAGTAAAAAATAAAGTGAATTTAAAAGTTCAAGATTTTAAAAGAAGGGAAAAATCAGTTACCCTTGAATGATAGAGGAAAACGTCATCTGCAGAGGACTGTATTAGTAGTTAGCAGTAGGGCTGGGCACAGTGGATCATGCCTATAATCCCAGCACTTTGGTGAGATGATTGCTTGAGGCTGGGAATTTGAGACCAGCCTGGGCAATATAGCAAGATCCCATCTCTACAAAGAATTAAAAAATAAATCAACTAGCTAAGTGTGGTGTTGTGCACCTATACCCCCAGCTATTCAGGAAGCTGAAGCAGAAGGATCGCTTGTGCCCAGGTATTTGAGGCTGCAGTGAGTCATGACTGTGCCACTGGGTGACAGAGTGAGACCCTATCTCTAAAAAGAAAAAAAGAAGTAACAATAACATTCATTGAGTAGAGTGTATAACTTGCAAGCCCTTGTGGGGTATTTTACATGAATTAGATCATTTAATTTTCACTATGGTTATGTAGCTATTATTTCCATTTTTATAGATGAGGAGACTGTAAAAAGATAGGATTTAAGATGACTATTTTTCTATATGAATCTTGATCTTGCTGTTTTCTGTGTTTGAGGTAGAGTAGCATTTCCTGAACTGATTCAGTACATTGGTCAATGCATATTCATTGACAAAAGGTTTCCTAATCACATGTGTTTGGGAAGGACTATCCCCCCTGTATAGAAAAACATGAAAACATTATCCGTATTTTACTGTGTCCACCCAGTTTGAAGTGTCCACTGTACTTTTTACGTTATCCCATTTTAGTATCTTCGTACCTCTGTCACTGACTGTGGGTATTTTATTTATTTGTTCTCTTGTTGATTAACCAAGTGAAGGCACTAAAAAGAATATTCTACCAGAGTAAGGAATTTCAGTCATCTTGTTCACTGTGAAATATGTACCATTAATTATTTACTATTATAACTCTCAAACTCAGATCTGTGCCTGAATGTTCAGTAAATTGTTGAATAAAAGAATGAAGGTTTCTGAGAAGACCTCTCATAAAACATTTGTTTAATCCAGCACTTTTGAAATGTATTCTTTTTGTTTGTGTAACACTTAGAAATTCCTCCAGGAGCATTAATGTTCCATGGGACTATTTGAGAATTGCTCTTTTGGTTTAGTTTTAGTTTTATAATTTAGTTTTAGTTTTATAATACTATTAGTTTATAGTTTTATAGTTATATAATAGTTTATAGTTTTATAATACTATTATTAGAGTACCATTTATGAAAATCAGTATTGTGCTTACTTATGTAAGTATTTGAAGGAAATTGGAAATACAGAATTATTAGTGGTTTATATTTTAGGATGTAGTTAACTTGCAATTTTTTGTGTTAAGAAAGAAAGACCTGCTCAGATAATTCAAACCAGTGAATAGCTTTAAATCATTTATTTTTAGTATTAGGCTTTATTTAGTTTCTTTAATGGCAAATTTACCATTCTAATTACACTTTGTATTGGCTAATAGCAGGTGGTTTAAGCCCAAAGTAAAGGGCAACATGTAGTACTTTTACATGTTCAAGTACTGCATCGACTGCATTGTGTCCTTGTAAGGAGGGTAGTAGGATATTTTTAAAAAGAAAAAGAAAGAGATAATAAAAGCCTTAGCTTTTTTAGGAGTATGATATAGAAGAATGGACATATGATTCTTCAGTTTTCTGGGCTCCATTGTCTTTGCTGCCCCATAGGTATTATGACAAACTTTAGCGAACTACCTTGCTTACCTGTTTCTATCTCTTTTAAATAACAGTATGGGGATCTATGCTTCAGTCTTTAATGGGAGAGGTTCTTTAATTAAAACAAAATCCAGAACACTTCAAAGTTTGCCTCCGACTACAGATAATAATATCTAGATGAGGAAGAGTAGCTAGAACAACTGGACTAAAAGTGAGAAAGGGGGGACTATACATCTAGCGTAGCTTCCTTTCCCATATGTAAAGTTATCTTTCTAAACTGGAAATTTGGAGTGTGTTGTTT